AATAGTAGTTCAGATAGATGGCTATTATAGAGCGCATCTACACAGGCAGGAAATTATGGGTTTGTTGGGTGTAAGTACTCTACATTGGCCCTGGGGACAATTTCACTGCCCACCTCTGTTTTGCTGTGGCAGTGAAATGGAGTCATGACCTGCCCCACTGTGCAGCCATCTGTATCTTGGTGGTCCTGATGGTGTTGTTACAGTGGCCACAGAGTTCCTGAGAGCTCCTGGGCATCCTTGGGATACCATTGCTGTTGTTTGTAAGGGCACCCACATTACTTGGTGAGAGCAGAGAGGAAAGGGAGAGTGCAATTCTTATCCCCTCTCTGAATCACATGTCAGCAATGGAGGCCAAGGATGGCCTGGGCAATGTAAGCAGTAGAACTAGTTCTTATTTAGAACCAGCCCAACTGTTTACATGTTTCTGAAGTGCAGGACAGCTCAAAACCTCCAGACTTTGACTAATATGGGCAAAACTGTGTCAAGTAAGCTTGTTAAAAGTTTGTGTGTGTGTGTGTGTGTGTGTGTGTGTGTGTGGGGTTGATAGCATTGAACCATGGCAGTTAAAGAGGTATAAAACTACATTATTTCTATAGTGTAGATGCACCCTAAAATAATAAAAAGAACAGGGTGCTGATGAGAAAATTATTAAACCAAAAACAAAACATTTTGTAGAAAATATTTATGACCTCATAAGATGGGCTAAAATTTGGTTGCATACATTGGCTCAGTTTTGCTACAGAGTCTGCCTGCTCCCGTCCCATGGTGAGCATCTACTTCCGAAGGGGCTCCATGGCAAAACTAAAGTGGAACCAGTATATGCTTCAACCACAACAACATGGGAGTCTTCCGTTGTTGCATAGAGATAGACCGAAGACAGGGGGAAACTGGGCGGTGGATGCTTCCCCCGTGGGATGAGGTAAAAGGGAAGCCACATGATGTGGAGCATGGGGCAATGGATTCCCCATGCCCCCTGCCAGGCACCACCGGATTCGCCATGATCCACAGTGATTCTGGCAGCAAATGTGATGAGGTCCTTAGAAAAAAGTTCTTGAAGTACTTTAACAACTAAACTAACTTGGGATTTATTCTTTGTCATTTGGGTTATTCCATTCCAACTGTTCTATTTCCTTATTTGTCCTATTATTTGAGAATCAGAAACCCTTGCCAGTTTACTACAAATAATACAAGGATGTTAGTGTAGGTTTTATTCTACCCTTGATCTAGCTAAAGTATAATGAAATATTTGAATGTCCCTTGCAATAAATCCTTTTAACTGACCTCAGTACAACAGCATGGATCATACCATCAGTTTTTACAGGACTCAGAAGAGACACCTCATCTTCCATTTTAAAACACAGGCAGTTTAATTAGTAGTATTCTGGCATTCACCCTCTACCTTTATTGAGGGAAGGCAACTGAGGAAGTGAACCATCTGAATTATAATCTGTGACCATCTACAAATCTATCCCATTTCACATAGTATTGTTTGCTCCAGTACATTGTTCATTTTAAGAACATTTCATTTTCCTTTCCATTTCTCAGTACTATTTCCACAGACAATGCCTCAAAAAGAACTGCCAGTTTACCTTATTGAAAAGATCCTCCAAATACATGTAGAAATATCTGTAGATCACATTAAAATAACATTTTACCAAGGGAACAGTGAAAGTCATAGAGAGTAACTAACACATTGCATCATTTAACTATTCTCTCAAAAGATGTGAATATGTTTATTGATTTCTAGTGAATTTTGGAATGCAGAGTCAGACTTTCCATCTCTGGAAAACTAATGCTCAACACATTGACAGTTTTACCACTGCAGAATGTTTCTACCATTCCCTGGATAATGTAGTCAAGGCATTATATAAAAGTTTTCTGATGTATAAATGCTTTGTACATTTTGCCCATGTGCCTCCTTTAGACATAAAGTGGTTGGAGTTACAGTTATCATTTTCAATTATGGTGCGGCTTTGAAAGTTATTGTGATAATTGTTGTCTATGACTCTTTTTCTACTTGTTAAATATTAATGAAAATGATTATTGATTAGCTGTTCTACTGTATCACATTACAGCTTTAAAAAGTTACTTTTCTGAACTATATTTTTCAGAATTCATTGGCCAGCTGGGAAACTGAGATAATTGTCTCCAATAAACACAATTATTCCAGACACTGTGTGAGGATATTTTTTTGGGTTTCAGTTCAACACATAAATGCCTGAGATTTGGGTATTGGTGGATGTGAAAACAGTGCAAACTTCTATTACACTCCAACTCTGAAATAGTATTCTAGTTTGTATGCATGAGCAACCCCCATGACCAAAAACAGAACAGACACACAATAATATGGGTGAAAACAGACCCCAACTTTTGTATTGGTTACTAGGCTTGTGCAAAAATTTTGGAAGTCATATGAAAATTTGTTAAATTTGTACTTCTTAAGTGATATCTGACACATGGGCATGGCCTACACCTAAAACTTAAGAATAAAAACTTACCAAATCCTTTTTCGTTTTAATATTGTAATGCTCAGAAGCCTCCCAAAGTCAGTTTCGTATTCATGGCAAGCAGCCAATAAGGCTCCCATTCCTATTTAAATTAATGACCATTAGAAGAGGAAAAGCAGGGAGAAAGCAGAGTTCACTGGGGAAAAAAACACAGAACTCTGGGAAATGTAGTTTGGGAAGGCGAGGTACCCTATGGCAGAGAATGCAAATGGCCCTGCCCGTAAACTACATTTCCCAGCAGGTTAATATTGGTTTCTATTGGTTAGTATGAGATACGTTCAATGAGATAACTGTTGTGGCTTTTTAAAAACATGTTTTTGTCAACATTTTAAAAGAATTCCCTAAAATTAATAGATATATGAATATTTCTCAAAGTTAAGGGGAATTATCCTGTTATCTTGTGTCATTGTATAGAAAATTTAAGGAGGTAGCTCTTGTCGTTTTTGTTTTAAAATGTTGTTTATTAAAAAATCCTCAAAGATCTGTGGATAGGTGCAATGTTCTGAAACTTGATGGGCTAACATGGCCAACATGTTCTAACATTGTAGCAAGTTTCACCCCAATAGCTGTAACAATGAGGGAGAAAGGCACCCTTGAAGTATCACCCCAATTATAGTAATTACGTGCATTTACTATAACAAAAGAGTTCAAAATTTCTTTACTCTCATTATAGTAATGTATTTTCACTGAATATACTTTAGAAACACTTTAGAAAGAAAACACCAGCACCCCCTAATTTTGTAATGACATTTTTTATCTATCGCACATGCATATTCGTTACAGCTGAAAAAGGGGTTGGCAGCCACACATAGGTCCTGGATCAAAGGATTGGATAGCCTGCTTGCTAGGCTGACACCACAGGAAGAATCACTGGGAGTACAGGAATAGCATACCAAAACCTGTACTGGGAACAGATTCCCATCTGGTGCAGATTCCCATTCAGGACTGTACTGTTATACCTATACCAATGTGCCCCTCATGGCACTCTGCAACCTCCTGAAAGGAGGAAGAACATACTATACCAGATCCAGGGCCCATGCCAACGCGCCCTCCCCCCCCAAGCTGCAACAAAAAAAGTTAACAAAAGCACATAAAAACAAGGGTGGAAGAACTCAAAGGCAACTGACTAGGAGGCACAGCATGCTGGCTATTATAGCTGACCAGAGTGGAGGAGTCTCCCCTCTGGCCTCCCTCACACAGAATTAATCAGAGCAAGCCATGAGGCTCACCCATGATTGACTGGCCACTCTGCTGTGCACAAGGTGAGCATGCAGCACCACATGCTGGGAAAAAGAAGCCTCCCTCATAAGATGGTGCCAGAGCGGAGTGCCCAACACTGAAACCTTCCTGCCTGGTAAGTTGGGCAGGGCTTTTACATTTTGATTACAATAAAAGACTCAAGCAAACTGTCAACATCTCTATGAAGACAAATAGCATTCTCAGCAGATATATGTTAGAGATGTTACAAAAAGAATAAAGAAGGAGAAAGAGAAAAAAATACCAATTGCCTCAGTGCACATCCCACATGGCTATTATCATAGTGAAGCCTTCTCCTGTGCTTCTAAGACTGCATATCCTTTGCCTAGGTAATATAGTGCACTGGCCTTTTTTCTTGTGGTTCCCCAAAACACAGTAACAGGACAATAAAATATGCTTCATATAACAGAAGAGCTATAAAATACTGAGTCTTAAACATTTTATACTCTAACATGAAAAATTGATGGCTTTCTCCCTCTGTGTGTGTGTTCATATAATGCTTCTGCTTAACTATGGCTTTAGGAACTCTTCCTTTAGTTATTATAAGACCAAAAACCAGAATCTCACCGTTTCTTCCTTGTAGTCATGTCATTGGGGAACAAATGGGGATATGTGTTTGTAGGGAATGTGAAGGGACCATATGGCAGAAAAGTATCATTAGGACATCAGAAACAGTAAGTTACTTGCCCCTAGATTGTGGGGAGGTAGGAAAGTCCTTTTTATCACTATTCAGGAGATGTGTGTGATTTAAGATCATGGGTACAATTGATGTGTAAGTCCTTATGTACACAGGGAGCTTTCCAGTCTTGACAAGAAAAATGTTTGGTAATGGCATCACTTCTGTACATTAACAACAAAGGTCCTTTGAAAATAAGGTCACTTTTCTTTGATTGACAGTTTGGATAGAAAAGGTTTCAGATCTCCTTGGAGGCAGCCATATGAAGACAAACTTCCCAGAAGAGAGAACAAAGAAGTTGAATCAGTAGTCTCCACAACTTCAAATGAAATAATTACAAGAGTCCTTGCAAAGACTAAAATAGTGCAGGTTTCATGACCTGCTACAGATATTTTCATACATAAAAAAGGAAAGCAGTAAAGAGGATAAAAAAAGAAGAGGCAGCAACATAACACAAGGTGAAGGAGATTGCTGTCATTAATCCCATGAAAAAAAAGGTGACACCCCAGCATACTGATTAAACTTCACAGGATTAGGCTTCCCTTGAGAAGCAAAACCTGATGGTGCCTGACATTCCAGTTGTGGCACCACCAAAGAAAGCAGGTTTGTTTGCCCCTCAGAACTTTGTGTTCAAGCCTCTGGTAGGCCTGACCACCTACAATGTTAAACCAGTGTCCCGTTCCAAAGCAGATGGGTTTCTGTTTCCCAGTCCCTCATGGAGTCTTGTGAAGAACACTAGTGAAGTACATAAACAAAGTGCAAAAGAAATAGAGCCAAAAGACTGTGGTTTGAATTTTAAGTTCTTCCCTTCCCCAGAAGTGATCCAGAAACATCAACTAACACTGGAATTGCCCGCAGTTGAAACATAATCTGTTCCTAAAGAGGTGATGGAATCTGCTTCCCATCCACAGCCAACAGACCTCTATACAGATCAAAAGGCAGGACAGGCAAAGGAAGCCCAGCATGTTGTGACATAGAGGTTATCGGTGTAGTATCTTGAATGGGAAAGAACAATGGAAACAGATATCCGAAAGGACACAAAAGGTCTTGTCCACACAACCATTGAGCAAACCAGATTGCTTATTGCTGAAAGATTCAAACAGATTAAAGGTCTAGTGGATAACTGTGAGTTCCCATGTGGGGGAAAGGAGACCACAAAACAGATCTGGATGGATTTGGGGATATGGTGAATTTTCAGGTAGAAGATGTAAATAAGAACATTGAGAACCTAAGGGAACGTCAGTGGAATGTACGATAAATGGTGGATGGTGTCTAGAAATATATGCTGTTCAAAGCATGAATCTGGAAATATATGCTGTTCAAACCATTGAACATGTGAACCCACAGACTGTGTATTGTAGTACATTATACAGTATATCTACTCAGTGCCCCTGAAAGCTTTCTTATTGCAGGGTCTCTTGATTTGGACAAAGAATCATAGAAGCCCCACAAGTTAGAAAAAAACTGTAATGTATAAGTTCATTAATGAAGTCTTGCTGGTGGTAGAAAAAACATTTTCCTAACTAGTAAACATTTATTTTGATGACTCTGCTCCCAAATCACAACTCCATTGACATAAAAGCTCCTGTTTTCCTAACGAGTTAGCTTGTGAGCAACCCCTGGGAAATCAGTTATTGACTCTGATGGCTGATCTTCAAAACTGCCATGTATCTCACATTATATTACACTGCCATTTATAAACTCAGTGTAAGTTCATTAGCTGTATTCAAGTAAAGTGTTTGCCGTTAGCAGCCAAGATCACCCTCAGTATGCAGCTACCAATGATTGCTAGGAATAATCCTGTGCCTGTAGTATAAAATCCAAATGAAATCATCCCTAGCGATAAAGATGAAATAATAAACTAAGAGTGAGATCCTGCATCAAATGTATAGCTACAATGTTTTGACTATGCTTTTCTTTTCTCATCTCACCCATTTGAAAACCAGGACATCCAACCTAAGCAGCAAAGGTTTGTGCTACTGGCAAGTGGAGTGTTATGAGTCTGAGGCAGTAACAGCAGGAAGGTGGTCTCTTCCTCTCTGCAGCTTCTTGAACTTCTGTCTGGATTTCTGCCTCTCTGGTGTTGGTGCTCTTTGTTTCAGTAACCATATTTTAGCTGCCTAGAGATAAGGAGAAACATAAATACTGGTAGAATTGTACTTTCAGGAATTTGAAAGCCTGTCAAGTTTCATTTTCACTCTGCCTCTCAGAATTTCACAATCATTCTCACTTATTACGACCTCATCAGATGGAGGGAATTTAGCATTCTATGATATTTTCACCCCATCTTCTGGACAGAGCCCCATGCCAGCCATCACACAATGCTGTGTGACTTCCAGTGGAGGCTCCGCCCCCAACCAGGGCAAAAGTATCACTGGAAGCTTTCCCCACAACATGGGATGTCCTCTCTGGGAGGGTGACACTTTCCCTGTGTGATGGGGAAAGCATCATCAAGAGGGAGCTGCATGCAGGGTGACAGATTCACCCCGCTTCCCATCTCCTTTTGCTATTATGCCAGGCAAAGCAGGACATTTTACTTTTGTGATGAGACCCTAAAACTATACATTTGGTTGCATGATTTTCTCTTCTTCACATACAAATATTTGAAAGCATTTTTATGTTGTTGGTTTGAGCATTGGAGTATGATGTTGGAGACCAGGGTTCAAATCCCCACTAGGACATGACATTCACTAGATGGCCTTGGGTAAGTGACAGCCTCAGAGAAATACTATGGCAAAGTTCTTTGGAACAAATCACGCCAAGAAGCCCTGTGATAGTTTGTCTTAGGGTTGTCGTATATCAGAAATGACTTGAAGGCACAAAACAGCAAAAAATGCATTTTAATGGATTTCCTTGCCCTGACTAAAACATTTTTGAAATATATATATTTCAGTTATCACATTTACATTTACATATTTTAAAAACAAAAATAGACAATAACAACAGCAAGAAAGGGGGTCTGATACTCCCTGATGAGTAAAACTGAAAGATGTGCTTTTGTTTGTTTGTCTGTTTATAGCATTTTAATGCCAATTCAACTGAAACATTTCAAAATGGGTTGCAAAAAATACATGCATACCTTGTTACTATTCTAGAAAATTAGAAATTAAAGTCATAAAATTTTTATCTAATGCATGTTTATCATCTATCATTGTATAGAAGAGGAAAATAAACCAAATAGATTCACTGGGTTTTGACTATGTGATTTTCTTCCTCTCAAGTCATAAATAATCTCTTGTGACAGTCTAAACAATAATGAACATGTTTTATCAATTAATAATGCAAAACAATTACATATGTTTATAAAATCTAGAAAATTCAAGTTTTTTGACTGAATGAGGATTATTAAACAGCAGAAAAGTAATAAAGTGTAGAAAACTACAAAGAAGATTGGAGGGATTTATATGCCAGTATAGTCAAATGAGGAAACTGTTGTAGGTTATTATCTTATATTAACCACATTACAATAGAAGGAGGGTTCTCTACAAAGAGTTGTATTTCTCAAAGCTATCCTATTTCAGAAGCAAGAATATGGGATATGGCAATCTATGAGGGTATTGCTACTTTGAGTTAAAAAAGAAAGAAAAGAACAGAACAGAAAAGAAAGAGGCAGAATCACTGTGGAACATGACAGACATACTGCTTTTCAGCAGTATTCAAGGGGATCTTGTAGAACTGTAGAGACTGAGAGAATGAAGTTAGTAGCATAAACTTTCATAAACTAGTTTACCTCTTCAGATGTTCCCAACGTCATTATCTTAGGACCCTTCTACACATGCATTATAACTCTGGTTAAACCGGGTTTAAAGGGGTAGTGGCTAAATGACGTTGAGCTAAAATGCAAGAGGAATCAGGTTAAAGGCTGCAAAACACGTGTTTAAAAGTTGCCTTTTAAACTCAGCTCTTCCTGAGAAACACACATTTTCCCATGCCTGTGTATCCCATCAGGCATGGAAAATGTGTTTTCCTTCCCTCCCTCCTGCCCCCCATTTCCTTTTCAATTTATCGGAGCCATCATAAAATGCAGGCCGGCAGCCATTGCAGGCCCTGGAGGAGAAATCCCCCCTACCCTACCCAAAGCCCCCCTTTGACTCTTCCAAAGGATTGGGGAGGGAAGCAGGGAGTCTTCAGGTCTTTTCCAGTCTTCTCCCATATGTGCAGAGGGAAATAGAGGGCAAGGAGAGGGAGCCTAGCAGTGCCCATGCCCACCCTTTCTGATTTTGGTTGAGGTGTGAATATCTGGACACCACCTTGCAAAATCCCAGAGTTTATTATTTATTGTGTTTTAATCTTTGTGTCATGTATGCATGTGTATGTGTATATTTTAATACATGCTTTTATGGTTGCATTTTAACTGTTTTAGAATGTGGCATTATAGATGTATTTAATGAAAGGAGAGACAAGAAATAAGCAAATAAATTATTATTATTATTATTATTATTATTATTATTATTATTTGATACACAACAAGATTAGATTAGATTACTGCAACGCACTCTACGTGGGGTTGCCTTTGAAGACTGTTCGGAAACTTCAATTAGTCCAACGGGCGGAGGCTAGATTACTCACCGGAGTATCATACAGGGAGCATACCACCCCCCTGTTTGGCAGCTCCACTGGCTGCCAATCCAGTTCTGAGCACAATTCAAAATGCTGGTTTTGACCTACAAAACCCTATACGGCTCCGGCCCAGCATACCTGTCCAAATGTATCTCCTTCAGAGTTTAAGATCTTCTAGGGAGGCCCTGCTCTCGGCCCCACCTTTATCACAAGTGAGACTGGTGGGGACGAGGGACAGGGCCTTCTCGGTGATGGCCCCTTGCCTGTGGAATGCGCTCCCCGGGGAAATTAGGTCATCAACATCCCTCCTCTTTTTCAGAAGGAAGTTAAAAACCTGGATATGGGACCAGGCCTTTGGGTAAGCTGGCAGATGGATAAAAGACAATGACGACCAGAGTAGGAAAGAACAATGACAATGCTGGATGGATTATGGATTTAGGAACTGGTGAATGTTGACCACAAGATGATTTTATTGCTGCTATTGTATTAATTTGATTGTTTTAACTAGTTATAACTGTTGTCGTTATATTGTATTTTGTATATTGTATTAAGTGAACTGTTGGGCATCGAATTGTGCCTTTTGTAAGCCGCCCTGAGTCCCCCCCTAGGGGGTTGAGAAGGGCAGGGTAGAAGCACTCCAAATAAATAAATAAATAAATAAATAAATAAATAAATAAGTACATAGCAAACAAGATTACTATGCTGGCTGTTGTATTGGATCACACATCGGACACTTCCCAAGTGTCTAGGACTATATGATGTATCATTATTATTTGATGTACTGTTGTTGCTGTTGTTTTTATTTCTGTTATTGCTGTTGTTGTTGTTGTTGTTGTTATTATTATTATTATTATTACATGTACATAATATTACGGCATGCATGCATATTAGGTCCAAATGTCTGGGATTCCTCTCTGAATATTGAGCTCTTCCCAAGGGCCTAGAATATTTTTGTTGAACGTGCACAGTTCCGAGAAGTGCTGCCTTCTGCAGCATGTGGATTGTTGTTTTGTCCACTAAAAACTTTGTTCCTGTCAGTATTTCTTTTTTGATCAGCAAGACTTTGCTCAGTAATTTCTGTTTTGGTGAATTTATTTCCAAATTTGGTGGATTTATTTAAGGTATCCTCTTTTTGATGGGTTCAATCTGTAGTAGCAACCCATAATTCCTTTATTTTGTGAACACGTGTATTTTTGACATTTTTTTTTCAATGCTTCCAGTAGGTCTGCAGTCTCCAGCCCTGGTTGTTCAGCTAAAGATCCAATTTTCTACCAAATGCCCAGGTGCTCCTGGACAAGATACAGTCCATGTTGACCCAGGCGACGACTGATCTGGTATAAAGTTTCTTTTTGGTGTAGTCACCATGGTTTTGGGTTTTGGGCCCATTTAGTCTGGCTACTTATCAGAGGCCTCTCAAGCTCAGCCCTCTATCTCATTGGAGCACACAAGCCTCACCACTATGTCAAGGTAATGCCCTTTGGGGGGATTCTTACTATTATCATTATTAGTTTTTTTATCTTTCTAGTCTTTGTATGGACGAGATTTTCATTTAATTCATTTCCCAACAATTCACTTTCCAAAATTCATTTTTTTCATATGTACTCTGGGTTTTCTTGTGATACAGTCTTCCCATCCCATTGAAGTGTCAGCATGGCTTCATTCAGTTGCCCTATTTGAGGCTAAGTAGGAATTTTCAGA